AAGCGGCCCACGGGGTCGCCAAAGCACCGCTTCGCCCGAGTCCTGCCCCCACGCCCCCGCCCCGAGAAATTCCCCTCCCCCCCCTTCTCCTCGGGCGTTGCTGGCGGGAGGCGCTGACTGGGGGAGGGGACGAAGGGGGGGGGCGAGGCACATGTGCACCTCTCGTGCACCTCTTGGGCCCCGCGGGGGCCCCTTGGAGTGCACAGCTCTTCGCCCACCACTCATCGCCCCCCCCCGATGCGCCACGCCCGAGGGCTGTGGCCGCCGGGGCCTGTGCTGGGCGGGATACGAGAGCCACCGGCTGCGCGCGGACTCCCCCAGTCAGGCCCCGCTTCGCAGTTGCCTCGTCGTTCCCTCCCCCCCTGCGCTCGGGCCCTCGTCCTCGTCGTCGTCGTTGTCGTCGTCGTCGTCGTCGTCGTCGTCGTCGTCGTCGTCGTCGTCGTCGTCGTCGTCGTCGTCGCCGCCTTCGCCGCCGCCGTCGCCGCCGTCGCCGCCGTCGTCGCCGTCGTCGTCGTCGCCGCCGCCGTCGACGACGTCGTCGTCGTCGTCGTCGTCGACGTCGTGCCGACGGAGGCGATGACCTGGATATGCGGCCCGCGCCGGCAGTCCCTGGGCTTCGCCGTGGGGCCTCTGGGGGGGGGGGGCGGCGTGCGGGGGCCTCCGAGGAGATCTCCGCTGCGCCCCTTGGCCTCGTCGTGGGGGCCTCTGGGGAGGGCTGCCGGGGGCCCCTCCAGAGGGCTCCGTGGGCCGGCCCTCCTCGCCCCCCCCCTGGGGACGAGCGGCCACGCCCAGGCGCGGGCGGCGGCGCGGCTGCCGCGCCCCCGCGCCTGCGGCATCTCGGGCGTCTGGCGGGACTGGGCCTGGAGCTTCTTGCGCTCCTCGGCCGCGCCGCGGGGGCGTCCGCTCCACGTCCTCCTCCTCCCCTGTGCCTGCTCCGCCTGCCTGCTTCCTCCCCCTCCCCTCTTGAGGTGGGAAGTCGCCCGCCGGCAGCAGGAATCCCCGACCAGGGGCGGCCCACCAGCGGTCCTCTCCAAGGGTGGGAGGGCCCCGCGTGGCTTCACCACAGGACCTGGGATGGGCCTTGGATCCTTCCATCCTGGCGGGCCAGGTGGAGCCCACATAGGGAGTGGCCACCAACGCAGCGACATGCCCGCCCAGGATGAATTGAGTGCGCTCTCCGACGTGGACCTGCCAGCACGGGGGGTCGATGGACCAAATGGGGATGATGGGAGCAGGACGCGACGCCGATCGCCAGACGTCCTGGGCAATGCGTCCACCATCCTTCCTGGCACCTGTGAACATCACAGAGCCCTCACTTACTCGTCACCGCGGGACAGGCAGGCAGGTGGGACACACGGAGGACGGCGGTGCTTCCGAGCACGGGTCGGGACGAGAGGGGGCTGATGGGGGCGATGCCGTCTGGGAGCGAGTGGGGGCCAGCAGCCCTCACGAGAGCTGGATGGCGCACTGCGGGGGAGGGGGGTCTTCTTGCCCGGAACTCCCCTCGAGAAGCCCTGGACGAACCCCGAGCCTCCGAGTGCTCTTCCATTGGGCACGTCGCCCTCTGAGTCTTGAGCTTGGCCGAACGGGAAGGCCCCTGGAAAATCCCTCGCGCGAGCGTTACAGCGATATCCCACCTCAAATTCGCACAGCGACGATCCTCTCCTGCGAAAGCCGGTGGAGGTGAGTGCACGTCAAGGCCCCCGTGGCCGCCAGGAGCCCACACTCCCTGCACTCGAAACGGGGCGGGATGGCCACACAAAAGGGGGGGGGGGGTCGGGCGGCGTGCCGTGCATGGCTCCGTTGGCGCGCAGGGGGGCCCCCCTGCACCGCGGCCGGCTGCGTCGCGGCCCCGCGGTCTGGCCCCGTGCGCGGGGTTTCTGGGGAAGACGGGCAGCATGATTGCAGGAACCGCGCGGGGTGGGACGGCACGGGCCTCGGGAATGGCGTGCGCAAGCCCCCGCGTCCACAAGGGCGGTCATCGGGCAGGAGAAGGTCGCAGCCCTCTGCTGCCCCTGGCAGGAGCACCCCGGGCGCGAACGTGTGAGAGCCCAGCGTCCAACATCAGACTGATCATGGGCGCAGGTGCACCGAGGAGCCAGGGACGACATCAAAGTCAACAGGTGCGCTTTGCTAATCACAGGTCATCCCGCCCGCCGTAGCGAGTACGTCGTCGCACCTAAAACGCGCTCCTAAACCATAGTTCCTGTAAGGGAGGCTCTGATCGCTCTGGTACATGGCATCGTGGGTGATGCGCCATTTGCTGTGCAGACTGGCAGGAAGGAGAGACTACGGACCAGCCGCATGCAGAAGATTGGACACCCCCAAGGGTTCGGCATAGAGGGCTTGATTAGCGGAAGAGGTCCCCCTTCTCTTGCTCCTCCTACTCCTCCTGCTTCTCCTCCTCCTCCTCCTCCTCCTTCTCCTCCTCTTCCCCCTCCTTCACCCACCTCCCATCCCTCCGCCTTCTTCTCCTCCCCCTTCTTCCTCTCTCCTCCTCTCCCTCCTCCTTCCTGCTCCTCCTTCCTGCTCCTCCTTCCTGCTCATCCTTCCGGCTCATCCTTCCTGCTCCTCCTCCTCCTCCTCCTCCTTCCCCCCTCCTCCTCAACCTCCTCTTCCTCTTCTATTTTGTCTTCCTCTTCCTCCTCTACCTCCTCCTCCCTCCTCCTCCTCCCTCCCTCCTCCTCCTCCTCCTCTCCTCCTCTCCTCCTCCTCCTCCTCCTCCCCCCCCCCCTCCTCCCCCCTCCTCCTCCTCCTCCTCCTCCTCCTCCTCCTCCTCCTCCTCCTCCTCCCCTCCCTCTCCTCCTCCTCCTCCTCCTCTCCTCCTCCTTCTCCTCCTCCTCCTCTCTCTCCTCCTCCTCTCTCCTCCTCTTCCCCCTCGTCCACATCCAGGTTCCCCCTTTCAACCCATGCTCAGTCGTCCAGTCCTTTCGTCGCTGTCGAATGAATCAGATTCTTCATACCCTATTCCTCCTCATCTTATTCTTCCTCCTCCTCCTCCTCCTTCTCCTCCTGCTCTTCCAACTCCTCAACCTCCTCTTCCTCCTCCGTCTCCTCCTCCCTCTGCTCCTGCTCCTCCTCCAATGTTCTGGGTCGCCTGATCAGTCTGTTGCCATGGGTGCCATGTTCCTCCCACCGCCCGGTCCCTCCACCTTCTGCTGCTGCTGTTTCTCCTCTTCGCACCCCTCCTCCAATCCCACGCCTCCCCCCACCAATCCGCGAGAGGTGATCCTCGTCGTCTTCCCCACGCCTCACCCTATACTGGTTTCTCCTTATCCAGACCCGTGTTCCGTTCCCCTGGGTGTTGCCGCACTTGCCCCTCTTCCACTACCTTCCTCAGCCGCAACACTATCATCACGATAACAACTATTACAATCACCATCGCCAATCCGTTGTCATGTTCAACATCGTCACGGCCATCGTCATCATCATCATCATCATCATCATCATCATCATCATCATCATCATCATCATCGTCATCACCATCATCATCAGCAGCATCATCGTCATCAGCATAATCATCATCGTCATCACCATCATCAGCATCATGATCATCATCATCATCACCATCATCAACATCATCATCATCATCAACATCAACATCAGCATCACCACCATCAAACGTAATCGTCATCATCCGCATCACCAACTAGTCACCATCGTCGTCATAACCACGCCTTCGATCATCATGGTAACAGATAACAGCTAGTTTCATCATCATCGCCAATCCGTTGCCATTACCAACATCGTCACGGTCATCGTCATCGTCATCGTCATCGTCATCGTCATCATCATCATCATCATCATCATCATCACCATCACCATCACCATCACCATCACCATCATCATCATCATCATCATCATCATCATCATCATCATCATCATCATCATCATCATCATCATCATCATCATCGTCAGCATCATCATCATCAACAACACCATCATCATCATCACCACCACCATCATCATCATCATCATCAGCATCATCATCATTACTATTCTCGTCGTCATCATCATCACCACGATCAAACGTAATCGTCATCATCCGCATCACCAACATAATCACCATCGCCGTCATAACCATGCCTTCGGAATATGACATCCACCTGTCTGGTTGTCACCATCATGACAAAGAACGTAGACATCAGGATCGTCATTCCTCCTTGCCTTCTCTTTGAACATGGCTTCTCACTGACACGCCACCAACGTGTGGGTAGGACGGACCGGACGGCTTCGCCCGACAATACAAACCATGTATGACCATGAACCTTGACATGTCCAAGATGCAGCAGGGTGAGGGCGATTCCTCTTCAAAAAACGGGGACCTCACCTCAGCGCCGCGCCAAACCGAGACGGGCCCCGCTGGAGCCCCAGAGCCAGCATGCTTGGCGCGAGTTAGTGCAGAGCCTGTAAGCAGCAGCCAGCTGAACAACCTCCAGCTCTGTGAACGCGCGCTCGTCAACGCGGGCAGGGATGCCGCAGCGAAGCGGGCGTCGCCCGGATCAGCGGCGGGGTTGTGCCTCGAGCGCCGCGACGAGCTGGAAGGCGCCGGAGGCCGCTGTGACGGGGGCAGCACCGGCGCAGCAGACGAAGAGGATAGACCGACCGGCCCGCAGGGGCAGGCAGGCGCGGGCGGCCGCTGGGGCGGAGGCAGCCCGGGCGCCGCCGCCGGGGCCGCAGAACGACGAGGACAGGCCGCGCGGCCGCCCCGGAAGGGTCTGCAGCCAGGGGCGCGCGGGGCGGAGCCGCCCCGGGAGGCCCAGCTGCGGCACGGGCCGAAGACAAGGGGGCTGCGGCCAGGGGCTCGTGGGGTGGGGCCGCCTCAGGATGTCCTGCAGCGCAACTGGCGGGCGGCAGGCAAGGGGGCAGCGGCCAGGTGCACGTGGGGCGAGGCCGCCGGGAGAGGTCCCACCGGCGGCAGGAGGACCGCCCAGGCCCGCGCGGGGGGACGCCGCCAGACGGGCGCGACCGTCCTCCTCCTCCTGTTCCTCCTCCTCCTCCTGTTCCTCCTCCGCCTCCTCCTCCTCCTTGTCCTCCTCCTCCTCCTCCTCCTCCTCCTCCTCCTCCTCCTCCTCCTCCTCCTCCTCTCCTCCCCCTGGTTCCCTGTTCCCTCCCTCCCTCCCTCCCTCCCTCCTTCTTTTCTCCTCTCCGCAGGGGGGGGGGGGCGGCGGAAGCCCCCGCTTCGAGCGCACGCCGCCCCCCCCCGCCGCCATACCCACCCAGGTCGGGCTCCTTCCGCGCGGCCTCCTTCTCCTCGACGACCTATCGCTGCCGAGGGAGGCCGGGGCCGGGCGCGCCGGAGGGAGGCAGGGGCGCCAGGAGGGAAAACTCTCTCCGCACCCACGGCCTCGCAGGCTGGACCGAGCCCTGAGGGCCGCGAAACCCCGTGGGCGCGGGGGCGCTGTGGCCGAGTGCCCCGCGCGGAACGCATCCACGGGATGGCCCCCCAGAGTCCGGACCGCGGGGGCGTGGACGTGGACGCGTGCGCCGCTCGTGAGCAGGGAGCGCGCCTGCAGTCGCGCTTCGCGCTGCGCGAAATTGCCGCTCCTCTTGTGGTCCCGCGCCAGCTCCCGGGGGCGCAGGAGGACGAGGAGGCATGGAAGGAGGAAGAGGAAAACGAGGACCAGGGAGGAGGAAGACAACGAGGAAGAGGGGGACCGAGGATCGCTTTTGACCTTGCCTTGGGGGGTGGATCTAAGCCAGGCGAGCCGAAGGAGCCAGCGGCCGACCTACGACCCAAGCTCGAGGCGCTGGCGATGCAAGTGTTCGGCCCCACCGGCCCTGCCCCCGAGGGAAAACTTGGGGGAGGGAGGTTTTCTGCATCATAAGGTCACTAACAGTCTGCAGACTGGGGCTAGCGGCGCCCATGCGTCAGCCTTGCCGCTCAGGAGTCCAGGTCGGGCGTGTGCTTCCCGAGCTCCTCGCTGTTGACCTCGAGCTTGGGCCATGTCGTTCATGTTTCTGCCTCCAGCTCGCTGTCGTATGGGGGAAGGAAGAAGAAGAGGATGGGGAATCACTGGCTCTCAGGGTCTGCGAGGTCTGGGCGACAAGTGCACTTCTGATCTGACGCCCGCGCCCGAGCTTCAACAACCGCCCCCGAAAACCAACCACCCCCCACCCGAAAAAAGGCAGAAAAGCCTCCTCGACGCCAGCCTGCAAATTCGGACTCTCTTGCGCCAGCGAGCTGGTGACTGGATAAGCTAGGAAATGCACAACGGCCAGCGCCACCAGCATGGGGTGCCAACCGCTGCTCGGAATGGAGCAAGGGAGGGAAATCGAGAGGGGCAGGGCTTACACCTCCTAGTGCGCTGGGTTGCTGACCATACTTTGACCTGCCCTTGCAGGAGAAGCTGACATGCATTCAGCCCAAAAAAATATTGTCCCCTGCCGCCACCCCCATCACCTTACCACCCCCGAGCCCCTCGCAAGGCAGCTGCGCCTGCCTGGCGCCGTGCACGCAAGAGTGAGGAGGTGGAGGAGGGAGAGAGAACCTATGAGGGAGGACAGACGCTGGCAGGCGTGAGCCCCACTTCCTTCCTACATTCGCTCCAGACTTCCTCGGGCACCAGAAACGCCACCGATGGCCCAGAGCAGTCGGAGGTGGGGTCGGGGTCCAAATCGCTGCCTAAGATGGGGGGCTGGGGTCGGGTCCTCCATTGGGGCAGCTCGATCCCTTCATCTGTCGGCTCCGTCCTGCCCGAGAGGACGCAAGAGCGAGAGGCAGATGCAGGGTCCACTGCCGCAGAGACCGGATTCACAGGCGAAGCTGGCGCGAGATCTTATCTCACGCGTGGCCTGGCAGTGGCAGGCGCGCTAACAGGCATGTGTCCAAAGTCAGACTCACGGGCCCAATGGGTCTTCCTCGGTTGGGGTCGAGCAACGCTGGGTCGGGCATCTCACAGAGGCCCTCCTCCCAAGGTCCCCCTGAAGCATCCTGGCCAAGATCTTCGGAGTTCCCAGCACTCGCAATGTCGCACTCAGCGACGCCTTCACTCGCGTTCTCATCCCTGAAATAACATTCGAACTGCTTCCTACGAGCCAGCTTGCGAGCCTCAGCTTTCCCAATTGTTTCAAGCGAACCTGAGACGACTTCGAGCCTTCCTGCGGCAGCGCGCGAGGCAGTGCGACAGAAGGCCGGAAACGCGGCACCTCAAGAAGCCGCGACACACGCTGAAGACGTAGACCGACGCGCGGTCTCCAAGGCACTCCTGGCACACCTCGTACTTCATGATGAACGTAGGGCTTTGCCGCCGCACTGCACATGTCATAGTCGATGACCGAGCCACATTGCCTGCCTCGCACGTGGCTGCCACGTTGGCCTGCAGGATGGATGGATCAACGCTGAGCTTCTTATAGAACTTGGATTTGAACAGGATGTGAGCCTCGATGTTCAAACCTCCCACCGCAACGCAACCCATGGAAGTGAACACGAATTCAGCGTGGCTCCGAGCTTGTAGAGACGGAGTGCGTGACCTGCACATCCGCGTTGCAGGCCATGCACAATGATGATGATCGGGATGTGGCTTGATGACGGGCTGGAAGCCGTCGAGGCTGGACTGTCCAGCAGCCCGTGGGCATGGGGCCGTGGACCGTGGGAACGCTGACTGGACCTGCAGGTGCTGCTTGGCCATGAGCCACTCGCCGCCCTCGCCGGCGCGGCCCTGCGCGGCAGATGCCGCCTGTCGCCCGTGCGAGCGAGCACGTCTGGCTGAGACACGATAGCAAGCCTCTCTGGCCTTCTGGCCCCGCGTCTTGAGGCAAGCCTCGCGGACGTGGGTCCCGCACGCACCGATGAAGCTGTGCCCCTGCGACTTCAGGAACTGGAGAAAAAGAACACTGACATCCATGGACTTGACATCCGAGAAGAAGAGCGCCGATCCCCAACCTGCACGGCAAATCCTGCTGCAACACCCGCCTCCGGCACAGTCGGAGTCGTTTCAGCCGTGGGCTCCTCGGACCCTACAGTCGGGCCGCTGAAAGAAGGAACGCTAAATAAGGAACGAAGCCCCTTCTAGGCCCTGTAAGCGCCTCCGTGCCCCAGGAGGGCAAGAGGAACAGCACTGGAGGAACCTAGGGAACATCGAGCCCCTTCCGAACCCAAACTGTTCCTTATTTCAGCGTCTTGACTGTAATCACAGCTCGTCGCGTCCTCCCGTCTGTCGTGGGCGTTGGCCGCGCCCTTGTCCTTGCTCATGGCCCTGCCGTTCGCCGCCTCCGCGGCTTCAGCCCGCTGCGCCTGGAAATTGGCCCAAGAAAGCCTGCCTGCCTCCCTGACCAGCGATCCGGAAGGGGCCCAGGGACACACAAATAGATACACACAAATAACAGGATTCCTTGTATTTTTCAATATTTTCTGGGTTTTCGTCATTCCCCCCTCTTCCCATAATTTCCTGGGAGTCGACGATTAATTGTGTCTGTGTGTTTCTTTCCCTCCTGAGATCCGTCGGCATCAACACCCTGCGGTTGGGATGGCTTCCCAGCGCCGCCGCCCGCTGCTACCTCGGCGCTGACAGAAGCCACGGCCGCTCTAAACACCGCCGCCGTGGGCGCGCCCTCGGCGGCGCCAGGCTTCTGCACCTTGCGCGTCTTGGCGTCGCGGTGCGCGACGGCCTGGCGCGCGGACTGGGCCTTGGCGGGCATCTGCGAAATCTGCATCCCCTTGGCGCCCAGCTCGCTCTGGACCTCCTGGCGAAACTCGAAAACGCGCTTTTGAGCTCCCTGGCGCTCGTGCCCCTCGCAGTCCAACTCGCCCAGCCCCGATAACGGCGCCTCCTCCCACGTCGCACGGCACGTTGGCTTGGCGTCGCCACCGCACTCTTCTGAGACGGCCCCGCTGGCAACCCTGGTAGGAGACATGGCCACCGCCGCAGCACGGTTGGCACGTTCAGCTTCAACAGGCGCCGGCGCTCCAGCTTCAGTCCTTTTCCTCAGCACGACGGAGGCTGCCCTGGAGGCGAACGACGGCAACAGCGCCCGGCTGTGCTCGTGGCCCGCGTCGTTCCAGATCCCGGCTGCCCCCTTCACCGCACCTGGCCGCCGCCCCGGGGGCGGAGGCCGCCGCCGCCGTGCCCTGGGCCAGCTCTGCCTGGAACGCAGCCTTGAGCACGGGGTTGGTGTCGTCTGCTCGAACCTCTTGGCCAACTCTTGGTCGGACAACGGCTTGGCGGCCGCGGGCCCTTCAGACTGCGCGCCCTGCTGAGCCTTGCCGCCCTTGCCTTTGCCAGACGTGGGCGCATGAAGCTTGGCAACTTTACAATGGTTGGTGAGAAGGCGGTCGTTCCACTCGTGCTGCCCGCACGCCGTGCAAGTCGACCACATGCGAGTGAGCGCCACGGGTTCACTGACATCTTGCCGCCTGTTCGAGCCAACGCTTGCAGCAATCAGCTGGGGCTGAAGCGTGGCCCGCCAAGCACCGCGCGGAGGCACAAGACAGTGGGCTCTGCCAACACGGTCTTGAGCCCAAGCTGCTCGAATGGCGGAGGAGGGTGGGACGAGGAAGGACGAGGGAGGAGGGGGGAGGAGGAGGGAGGACGACGGAAGGAGGGAGGAGAGGAGGGGGAGAGGGAGGAGGAGGAGGAGGAGGAGGAGGAGGAGGCGGAGGAGGAGGAGGACGAGGAGGAGGAGGAGGAGGCGGAGGAGGAGGAGGAGGAGGAGGAGGAGTGAGGGAAGCGGGACTCCGTAGCCATTTTGGCTCAAGCCATTTTGGTTCAAATAACACATTTCTCGAAGCAGCTGGCCAGGACAGCACGCTTCGAGCACCTGCCCACAGGTGGCTGCCAGAGCCTGGGCGTGTGCAGTAGATTGTTCACATTCCACTTCGGCTATCATTGCTTTTCCGCCTAATAGGACGGCGGCAAAAGTTTCGGCCCGCAGTACTATCCCCATGGCGTTCTTCTTGTCAAGTGCGCTAACTGTGGCTGTGGCAAAAACCAGTCGTGGTGGAAGTGGTGCAAGCACTGCAAAGGGCCGCTGGTGCTAGTTGAGACGCCGCCTGCTCGTCCTGCTCGCCCTGAGCGCGGCGCTCGTTCGCCAGCTGGGCGCCCTGAACCCGAGGAGTCGGCCAGGCGACCAGCAACCAGCCGCGGGCTCTGCGGCCGAGAGGGCCCCCAAGTGGCAGCAGAGGGTGGCGTCCGCCTCGGGTCCCCTTCGACATGGAGCCCGAGGTCTTCGGCGGCAGGGGCAGTGCACGGGCTGGAGCCAGGGGGGGGGCCGAGAAAGAGCGGCTGGCGAAGCTGGCCGAGCTCCTCACCATCTCTGGGGAC